GAGTAAATTTTACCTTTAATAAATGCCTAGGCGGCTAAGATATAATACAGTATAATAATACTTAGATAAAAAGATTATCGTGTAGTATATAGATGGTATTTTAGAGCGAAGTGGCTTCAAAGACTAGAACCTGTAAGATTTGCTGAGCTGTAAGATGTCTCACGAATTTCTGTAGAGCCCATGGGGTAACATCTTGGTGGGAGGCTGAGCAAGCTTGTAGATGCTAGGAGCAAAAGCATTTTTTGTAATTTAGATCTATGCAGTCACCATTGTTTTTTATGTTAGGGATCTAAACGCATGTTTAATTCTCCAGCTGTCAAAATTCCATGTTGCTGTCCTACAGATCGGACTGATTTACTTTTGCGATTATTACCATGTCTGGTGATCAGCTTGCGCCACCCTCCCTCCTGGAGGATCAGGAACTGAGTTTGTAGACGTCGTACTAAGTATAGTAGTCATCTCTCATATCCTAAGATATTTCGGGAAAAACTTTCAGTAAATAACGCAGGGCTGTTCTGTTTTGAGTAGCTGTCACATAGAGAAACCGAAACTTTTAAGCAGGCTGAGCGCATAAAGTATTTAGAGGCTTATAAAGCAATGAGTATTTTCACAGAAGACTTTGTGAAATTGTGCTTTTCTATATGATTTGATATTACAGGGCGTAAATGGAAGCATGATTATATCAGGCTAATATTAAACTAATCCAAAATTGGTCGACTTACTTTAAGCATAGCTGCAGTTTGGTACTGACGGCATAATGATGAAATATATTTGATCGTTCTTCCTCACTCTTTTGGAAAGGTTCTGTTAATGTTAAAATACCGACGCCTTTTCTTACAAAGATTTGGTTAAACCTTCACGTTTTCCTAAACACAGTGGTTTAGTTCCACGAGAACTGCTTGATATAATTAGACCTCTAATAATATCAAGTTTCTAAACTATATTCTACAAATGTAACTCGAAGACCGCCAGTAGAAAACAACAGTTTCGAGCCACTTGCCAATTCTGTAGGGCCATTCTCCATATTTTCTCGACATATAATTTGTTATGAATGAAGCCCTTTAAAGCAAATCACACGGAGAATGATTCCTAATCCATAGGTGTAATACATTCTTATTCTAATCTGCTTCCTTATGTTTCTCTACGAAATCGTAGACACGCACACTTTATTTAGGTTTCTACAAATATAGCTTCATAACATACGGCTCAGTTAGCCCCTGGTGACCTTACGGATGCATACCAACCTTATCTAGCAAATGGGTCTACATAGCTTCAACTCTTGCAGGTCAGTGAATTCCATGTGTGAGTAGAAAGCACCTATTCCACCATTTGAGATGGTTCGTTGCACCGAAAGCTACTCGCACTCCGAAGTAATTTCATATGTGATTGTGACTGCTAAATTGGATTGCTAGTCGTAAAACTGCTCTTTTACTCAGGTTAAAATATATTATTAGTGTAAGAAATATGAGAGTGCATGATAACTTCGTAGGACTAACAGGGAGTGAAAGGCAATATTTCACTAACCTCATGCATCTGTCTATTAGTATGTTTTAATCGCGATACACTCCATTTTCTGTTCAATTACAATAGTCTGTTAAAATTTCCGAAATTTTTTTGCGTGGAACGATAGCTGTTGACTGTTTGCACAACAGTGCCTTTACACGGAAAAGTGACCATGTTGGAACTTTCTTGTGCCTGCTGGTATAATAATAGTGCTAATCCGTGAATTTGATGCGGGAATGAAATATGAGCCTTAACCCCAAAATGATACTACACAATGAATACCAATCATTACATTCCCCTTAGCCAACAAAAATAGAAACGGAAGACAAGCCAGCCTAAATCGGCGAGAAAAATTCCGTTTATTGGACCAAAAGTTCACTATGGAGCTCGGAGAGTGTTCCCTGTAAATAACTAATCTGGTGTGTTGAAAAAGTTCAGGCATCGGAGGTTTTCCAGTTAAGACGTAGCAAAAGCCCAATGGTTTAACTTGGTCTGAACTGGTTTCAGTATACAGTATATATAGTGAAACAGTGGAACAGTATTATTTACTGAATGACAAGGTTGAGAAGAAAATTTATTGTTCATAATCATATCAATTGTGATCACACGACTTTGACACTTGAGTTTTATAGTTTACTTTGTTTTCTCCTATTTGTCGTAGGGGTAGTAGAATTTTCCAGATATCGGGGAGAGGTGATTAATCATTCCTATTACATGTATTTGCAGCCGATTCGATAAACAGAGCTTCTGTTATCAATCTCTCCCTCCACCCTGTGACATTAGATTTTAAAACTGTCATCTTATCCCATCATCCTATATTGTATGGTTGTGTGTAATTACATGTAGTGCTATAGCTGAACTATTCTCTAGGTTTCTTATCTTATTTGGATTAACCAATCTAGATTTTGCTAAGTTTTCATGTTCAGCTAGTCTGACTGCCCCTGTTCTACTAGTTTGACCTATGTATTTGACCTGACAATCATTGCAGACACAGTATGAGATAAACTGAATTGTTTTATTTTAAAGGTTCTACAGAACCCTTTAACCGACAAAGCTTGTTTCTAATTAAGTTTGTGAGTTTGAATGCCAATTTTATCCCTGCCTTGTTAAGAATTCTGCGTAAGGCTTCGGAGGTTCCTTCACTGTATGGAATTACTTTAGCTGGTTTCGGTTACTTTCAGTTCATCCTGACTTTTTTTTAGCGAAACCATGTAACCAAGATTTTATGCCTCATATGCTGTAAAATCTTCACATTTCCGCCTCATGACGGTATCTTTCTAGATGAGTAAAGTGATTCCTAAGTGAGCTTTTAAAACTTGAGTAGAAGACCATGATCTCTCTAACTACTCCTCTAACTCGACTACGTAGAAAGAGACGAAAACGAGGTTGAACTGTAGTGGAGGGACAAAGAAACAACTCTAACATATCTGAATTAAGATGATTCTTAGTGAGTTAGTAAGAATTAAAACTGTTCGGTGGTCGGCGGCTTAGTGGTAGAACAGTGGCCAACTACTCAAGTGGTCCTAGTGTCTATCCCTGGCCTATCCAGTCCTTCTTCACTTCACTAATCCGGTAATATAACCGGTAAGGCTAGGCATGAGGGTAGCGACCCCATCCCGTAAAAACCACTGATACTGAAACTTCTAAGCGCTAGCCTGAAGCTACGTATTCCACTGTGAACGAATATGAATAAAAACAACTATTCTTAAACAGCAGTGATTATGACTGTTCCTGCCAAAAGACCGGGATGACTAATTCTAAATGGCGACCATCCCAATACAAATCTTTCCATAGGTATTATTTGATTCGCCTTAATATTTTCAAGTGCATAATATTTGTATTATTATTTTCATTTTGACACAATTTTGTCATACAACCGCTGCTGGTTTGACTTCTGTTTATTCTGCACAAAATATTGAATTACTCAGGCGTGAGGAATTATTTGGAGCCGATCAGTGGCTTGTCAGATGTACGCCGGAATGAATATGAGGGACAATCGTCAGGCCTGTGGCAGACGACTTCCTAATTGTTTCCAGGGTAAAATCAGAACGATTCGGCAATTTGCTTTTGGTTAATTATTGATCTACCACCAGAACATTTCCTAGTTGGCAAGAATGTGCGGGAGCTGCATCAGACTGTTAGCATGCAATCAACCGGAATAAATATTAAAAGCTAAGGCTGATTCCTGATCTAACAAAATGGTGACATTCAAGTACTGGTATTCAAGTATTGGTGACATGTAACCTAAGTAATGATAAGTGAGTTTTGTAGCTGGTTTAAGTATCTTTATCGTCGTTTACTAGTGAAAAATTGGTTAGAGAGGGATTGACAATGGAGAGAGACTGAATAACGACAAAAAATTGTTAAATTTTTGTTATTGGAGATTGGACAAATGGTATCTAGGATATCAAGGCTGTTTATTTAACCACTAATTTGAAAGTTGGTTATTTTTAATACTTTTGCAAAACTCGGGATTATTGACCACCAGTCCCAAATATCTATGCCCTTTTTGAGTATGCTAGTAGATAGTCTCTATTCTATACGAAAATTGGAATTCAAGGGGAATAATAGTTATTACGAAATTAATACATGAACTAGTTCATGTATCAGCTGATTCAACTGCAGTCTCATTTGTTTGAAATAAGATTTAAGCTTTTAAACTGTTGTGAATATTCCTGTGGATGCTATGTGTACCAGGAAATAAGATGAGTTTCCGCATTCTCGTCTTCTTGTGAAGTACGATTTCTAACAGCCTAGTAGGAAAAATGAGCAAACTATGAATAAATAATAATTTAAATAGGCAGATTTTAGGAGGATAGTAAGTGTAATAAAATGATAGTAATATATTGGTTAAATAATCGTCAAAATGGTAAACTTCTTGTCATAAAACAGAAATTCGCCCATTTTAGCCCACATTTTGCCCACATTGCCCGAGTGCATTCTCTCACTGGGTTCTTACTATAGGTCATGGCCACTATTCTTTTTGTTATATATATCTGACTGTGATAATGGAAGCAGAACAACTTCAGAGACAGTCTGTAGTCCGGTGCACCAGACCTAAATCAGAATAATACTTTTCAGTAATATTAAGTGAAAATTAGCATACTGTGGCTACAGCTACATATAAATATATCCTAGACAAGTTCAAAAAAGAGGGAAAACAATGATTTTTATCCTAAATTTTTAAGATTTTAGATGATGGAAATAGGAAAAATGTTTAGAATATTTGCTGTTTGGTCCACAAGTCTGTCTAACACGTAATCATTCAATTATGATATTTTAAAAAACTTTGTTATATGTGCCATCTGTTTTTTTCCACCTCTTGGAGCGCATTTCTACTCTGATGTACACTGAATTTCCGGAGGTTCATTGTCCTTTTGACTTTTTATTTATAGGTTTTATGTTTTTCTCTTTCTTGAAGGTAATTACTAACAATCCGTCATGTTTTCTCATAAGACATAAGATCTCATTGGCTTAAAATGTTCGGGCTTTCGAATATGCTACGTGATGACTGTACCCGAAACCAAACTGATTATGAAAGACAGGCACGACAGATTTTAAAGAATGCATACTATAAACTTGGAATCAGACATGGAGATCAAAGCGACAGAAAGTTGGGTGAATGTCGAAAGCTGTACTACGTACAACTGGATGAAAATGGTAAGAATGAAATCTAAAATTTCAAAAGCCAAATGATAATCGTTAGAACTGTAAGGACAGTACTGACTATTTTGCGGTTTTAATTAGTTTGAATTTGTGATAAGAAGAAATTAAGCGAATTTGTTATACTAATTGTTTTGTGTTTCTGTAAAATAAGATGTACTGATTACGACACTAAGTTTTTATAGAATATATTCTGTATTCACGTGGAAATATACAGGCTCACATAAGTGTGTGCTTACTAAAAGCGTATAGATGCGGTCGTGACATCAAACAGCCACGCCATTTTCATGTTATCTTTACTCATAACAGGTCTGTCTTTACGTAATATCTTGATGTGTTTTCGTAGATAGCATACGACATCTTGGTTGCATGATTTTGTTTAGCTTAACAAACACTTATCCGGAAACACTGGGTAGTCATTTGAAGTGACAAAAACCTATAACTGTTAACTTGTCAAACTTGAATACTGCTAAATACATCGAAAACTGGCTTACAAGGAGATACACTCTGTAAGCGAAAATCCTTCATTCAGAACACTCGCTTTCATAGAAAAATATTCTTTTCTGAAAAACAGGACCTTACAAAGATCATTTTGTCAGAAATGACAGCCTATCTTATTCAGCACACCGTCTCTCGAACTAGCGAGTTATGTGACAGGCGTGGCTGCCTTTACCTATGTGTGATAAATACGGGGCGTTATCTGTCTTAGTTCAGGCAAGCATTCAGCTTGCTGGAATTTATGTGTAACAGGATAAGTGATTACAGTGAAGAACGGCAAAAAGTATTGTTGACGACCCTATTGGTTGTGGCATATTGTCTGTTTCTTGTGAAGTGCATACTACTTACCTCTACAAGTGAATCTAGTAATTTATTCTGCTCAGCTGTTAAACCAGCTGTAGCACATGCAAGAAACGCTAAGAGAAAATTGGAGAGCCTTTAGAAAGACATAAATGTCCTAGTGTCATGTTATTATTTAATTTGCTGTGCAAAGGAACTAAGCCTTTATGTTTGACTTCCATCTCTGCTATCATGTAACAGGAAGCCATAATATGAATTAATGATGCACCTCTAAATCAAAAAAATTATTAACTGTGTTTTGCTGTGTTCGGACAACTGACTTATGCAAATGGTTCATGTGTATGAACCTTTGTAAACTTTTTAAAAGTGAGCACACATAAATGGTGACTCTATTATTATTAAAGGGAACATCATTCGGATAGCATTGCGAGTGTCAGAATGAAAATGAAAGCAGTCATAAACTGATATATTCAGCGGAAATTCCATATAAATTCTGGTTTAAATATGAATCAGATATGTGATAAATTGTTATTGGGGTGTGAAAATTATGTTTTTTAGTTATCAGACAACAAAAGGATTCCTCTATAACTCATAACTTATCACTGTGTTCATATACGTGCGACTAATATTGTGGTGGTGTGCTACAGACAATGTGTTCCAATGGAATATTATTCTTACATATTCCCACAGTTCAATACAGCATTAGCAATAGTATACGATATATTGTATTTGAACATTCTATTTCATGTCGTTTAATGTAAGCCAAAATCACACGTTCAGAGATTAGCCAAAGAATATTAACTGCATAGATATAAACAGCGGTTTGATCAATGGAAAATATACCTTGGCTTTCGTGTCTTGCCTTCTGTTGTTATAATATGACTTGGGTTCAGACTACACCTCAAGTAATTCAACTGTGGAATCAAATAGCATCATATATCATAATTAAATAGCACTCATAGGCCACACAGAGTCGTTTAGTTCTATCGGTAATTCACTGTCCTATGCCAGATACAAAGAATAAGAGACAATCAAAGAAGGACAATAACTGATAATGCCAGAATCGCTCATGATACCTGTTTTTTGATATTGTGGACTGACTTAGCAAACTTGTCACTTTAGCATTTGTCAACTCAATTTATGTAATGGAATTGCTTTTTTTGTATCATAGTTTATCATGAATTACCAGTACAAACCTCTGAAAGTCGAAGAGCTCCAGACAGTTACTTAGTTTAGGTTTGAAACTATTGAACAGTAGACATCCACAACAAGGCAGGCCAGACACTATTCACTTACTATGTTGAAACTTAATGTTCAGCGGTCTGTGACTTGTGTCTCTTCATAGTTATCTGTATATAACTTTCTCCAGTTTCTGTGAGGTAACTGTCCACTGTCCCTTGACTCTCAACGATTGTAGTTTTGTTTAGCAATGAAGAATTCTGTAAAATCAATAAAGTTTCTTTCATTTGAACCTGTGAATAACTATGATTTATGAACAGATTCAGTAGAATTATTAAGCTTTTAACTTCTTTTTATTTAGTGACACCAAAAGCTGATTGTAACCCAGTCATGAAAAATAATGAAGATGATCATAAAAAACTAATTAATCCATATGTGGACTTGAGTTCTGGTGATCAAAAACCTATGCATAATGATGAAACATTATCATGGCCAGTTTCTATGAATACAACAAATTTAGTGAAACAGAAACAATTAAATCTATTAAAGTTGAAAAGTACTAATTCACATCGAGAGCCATCAGCATCTTCTGTATGCATTCATAAGCATAATAAGAAAACTCAAACATTTCAATCAGAATATCAAAAGTTTACAGATAAAACGGTATTAAAATGGTTACATGATAAAGAAAGGCAGATGAGGGAGAATAAAAGGAAACAAGTGAGTTAGATGTATTTTTATTTCTGTATTTGTATATGATTAAAAAACACATAAGTCAGCGAAAAGAAATCTCTTTTTTATAACTTTACTTCAAAGCTGTGGAGTTACTTTATTTATATTCCCTTAGGTTCCGAGTGGAGTATAGGGATTCAGTTACACATCTGCTTTCTGTTCTGTTCAGCTGGCTCAACGACCACCCGTAGGCTGTTATCTCCTCCTCACACCATCCCCTCCATGTCACCCTCGGACTGTCGCCACACTCATAGCTTCTCAATCGGGCTCCACTCTAGGGCCTGGAGAGTGAGGTGTCCTTCAGTGGTCTCCTCAGCGTATTTACAGTTCTTTTCAATTTTTTTCGGCATATCTATTGGGCTGGCGTTGGTGGTTCACTCGTGGAATGCCTGTCAACCACCTCACTAAGTTGCTAGTAATGCTGGTAAAAAGGGAAGGCTTGACATAAGACTAACAACCTCATTCTATAAAAATGAAGCCACTGCGACTGTAAATTCAAAACTGTGGCTTAAAGCCCTAAGTTCTACTCGGAACGTAAAGGAACCAAAAAAAGTTGTTGGGCAGTAGGTTCTTGGTTGGTTCCTCCCCAGAGTTCCCTTTTACTAATCCCTTACGGCCAGCTATCTGATCTTCATTAGTGAGCGAAGGCAGCTGTTGACAAAGTCTGGTGCCTGTTGTAAATCCTCTCAAGGGTGCACACACCACGTTTCTCACCCACATATAAGGACCGACTTAACATCGGTGTTGAAAATCCGAATTTCGTTCTTTGTGCTGAGCGTAGCAGATTTCCAAACTGATTTAGGATGAGTGAACGCCTACCTTGCGTTTCTGATCCTGGCTTTGACATCTTCATCAGCAGGGGTAGAGGGGAAAATAACTATTGTCACATAGCATTCAGATAGTATAATAACAATAATGATAAACTGTGAAACGGAGAATAAAATGTACAACTACAGCACAGCATGATATTGATAATACAGTCAGCATTACAATTAAAATCAAATAAAAACATAATAAGATGGTATTTACAATTATCCGTGTAACCGGGAGGGATAACTATTTTAGGTTGGGGGCGAAGGCAAAGGCAGGGAGAGGGATTCAAAAAACTTTTTCTGAACGTAGAGATTGGGTGGAAAAATCTTTATGGCAACTTCCTCAGTTATGCTTAGCGACTGAAGAAGTACAAACCTAGGGAGTTGAGGTGGCACCCTAAACGGAATTGTAAAAGTAGACAAAAGACAAGTAGTTCAGCAAAGAGTCTCTTTTCGGCGAATTCATTTTCAAAGCTGTACAATCGCAAATATATATGGTTATTTTGTGTGTGTGTGTATACATTAAATTTGTCAAACAAAATACGGTTAGTAAGTTCAAATGAATTGGATGTTGATAAGAGGATAGCAACAAAAGTGATGAGTTGTCAAAAACGATTGTTAAAGAGGAGTAAGTTCAGGTGAATTGGATGTTCATATAAGAGGGTAGTAACAAAAGTGATGAGTTGTCAAAAACGATTGTTAAAGAGGAGTAAGTTCAGGTGAATTGGATGTTCATATAAGAGGGTAGTAACAAAAGTGATGAGTTGTCATAAATGATTGTTAAATAAGAGTTACGTAATGGCATGAATAGTTTGATGAATGAGTTGTACTCAAAGGGTGAGCATGGAAACAAAATAATATACAGAATTACACAAGGGTTTTAAGTTAGAAAAATACGCATACAAACAGAAGTAAGGTCAAATCAAACAAACAAAGAAGAGTTGGGTCAAATCAACGGAGTTGTTACCATGCGAGTAGAAGTGGTTGGATAATTTTCTTTTGTATACATAGTTCTGGTTCCACCAACTGGATGGCTAGGGCTTCTGCGATGCAAAGAAGACGAAATCGTACTGTCTTTGGGAGGTTGTTCTTCACTTTGTAGATCACTTTGAAGGAGGCGTTCGTTGAGATGGAATGACCAGTGTTGACTAGATGTTCGATTATTGCACTCCTTATATGGCCATTATTTCCTTTCTGTAGCCACGCTGGGTAGTGTTCTTTGACCCTTTTTGACAGGATGCGCGTTGAACGACCGATGTACCTGGCTCAACAGCAACAGGTGAACTGATATATACACATAGAAGTGGTCATGTGCGGAATCTTGTCCTTTGGGTTTCTGCAGATCAGCTGGCGACTGGAGAACACTATTCTTAGTGTTGCCGCAGGGAAAGTTCTTCCTAAAGAGGTGGAAATTCTCCTTCTGAGGACATCGCTAAGTAGGTCTCCTTTGAAGTCTAGGTTCATATAAAGTATCTTTTTTGGCACAGATTGTGTCTCTTGCTTTTGGTTTTTCTGTTTGATGTTTTTGTCTACAAATCTTGGTGGGTAGCCATTTTGTATGAAGATTTCCCTCAGGAAGTTTAATTCTTCTTCCATGGTGTCGGAGCTGCAGATGCGTCTGACGCGAGTGGTAAGGGATTTAATTAGGTTTCTTTTCCGATTGATTGGTACCCAGCTGTAGAAGCTTGTTATTTGTCCGTTCCAAGTCGGTTTCCTATGGATTGACCTTCTTAAAGTTCCGTCATCTCTCCTTGTAAGCTCAACGTCAAGAAAAGGGATTTCAGATTCGTTTTCAGTTTCCAAAGTGAACTTTGTGGCTGGATGGCATTTGTTGAATATTTGTAGTAGTTGATTGAGATTGTGATCGTCATCGCAGATGATAAAGATGTCGTCAACATATCTAACGTACAACTGGAGATTGTCGATGGTTGATTTGAGTGGGCCGTTCTCGAGGCTTGCCATGAAGCAGTCTGCTAGTAATGGGCCCAGTGGAGATCCCATTGCGATCCCATCTTGTGGTCTGTAAATAATGTCGTTGAATGTGAATTGCACATTGAGTGTACATCTCAGTAGTAGTTCTTTTAAACAGGTCGTCGGTAATCCGATGTTCAGCTGATTTTCGTCGATATGGTGACAAATATAAGAGACAGTCTCTGTGAGTGGAACATTGGTAAATAGTGATTCAACGTCGAGGGAGAGCATAGTTTTGTTCTTTGTATTGATATCTTTAATGTAATCGACGAATTGGAAAGTGTCACGAAGTGAATAGTGGCACATTCGTTTTCGTACAGGTTCTAAAATGTCAGTGAGCCATTTCGCTATTGAATGGTACGGGGAACCTGACATATCCAGAATTGGACGAAGTGGGAGGTTGGCTTTAGGTATCTTCGGTAAGCCATATAGTCTTGGTATTGTTGACCCTGTCGGTCGGATCTGATCTATGTATACAAAAGAAAATTATCCAACCACTTCTACTCGCATGGTAACAACTCCGTTGATTTGACCCAACTCTTCTTTGTTTGTTTGATTTGACCTTACTTCTGTTTGTATGCGTATTTTTCTAACTTAAAACCCTTGTGTAATTCTGTATATTATTTTGTTTCCATGCTCACCCTTTGAGTACAACTCATTCATCAAACTATTCATGCCATTACGTAACTCTTATTTAACAATCATTTATGACAACTCATCACTTTTGTTACTACCCTCTTATATGAACATCCAATTCACCTGAACTTACTCCTCTTTAACAATCGTTTTTGACAACTCATCACTTTTGTTGCTATCCTCTTATCAACATCCAATTCATTTGAACTTACTAACCGTATTTTGTTTGACAAATTTAATGTATACACACACACACAAAATAACCATATATATTTGCGATTGTACAGCTTTGAAAATGAATTCGCCGAAAAGAGACTCTTTGCTGAACTACTTGTCTTTTGTCTACTAATGTCCGAATGGGAATTATTCATGAATTGTAAAAGCTCAATTTTTGTCGATCTTGTTCCCTATATCCACTAGGTGAGCCAGTATGGAACTTCTGCCTGACTTTACGACTCCTCTATCCAACCACGTTTGACAATGCTCCAGAAGGTGCATTTCATAATTACCCTGCTCCTGCGGAATGAGGTAGATAGGTCGTTCAGTGCATATTTTATCTTAATGATTACAATAGGTCAGTACTGAGTGCTATAAGTGAACATATAATTAACACCGCTTCTTTCAAGTTTAATCAAGGATTGGTATCATTTAGAGTGTCGCTGAAATGCAGAGAGTACTTGATAGCTGTTTCATCGCAGTCTTGAACTTTATAGCTGTACTACATCTTTTGTTATAATCTGGAGTGATTGAGCCAAATCATCTCATCTACTGAAATCATATTAAAGTAGTGTAAAATGTTAAACAAAAATATTGTATCTTATTTCGAAATAATGGAGATTTGTAGTTCAGGTGGATGATATTGAATTAGTTATGTTCTCTAAGCTGCTTGATCTAAGTGCGAAGCTTTCGCCATCCTTCTAGACAGAATCTTCAGCCCAAGCTTTAGTATAACATGAATTCATTCGTGTCTATAACTATCCACATGCATTGATATGAAAGATTATATTTCATGCCTTTTTACAGGCAATTTGTGTTCTTGGATTCGGATTCGAAGCGGTAAGCCCACTTTGACTGATATGATTTTTAGTGCAGTTCATAAGGTTTATTTTGTGAATGGTAATAATTCTATATCCTTTTTCTGTCGGATTTTTGGTTTGCACAATATGGAATGAAGTGATTGTGCTGGCTTGTGTGTTATAACTATATCAAACTGTTTTTATATTCGAGCTGTTGTTTCAGAGATATCTTTTATTTGTGGTGGCCTTTAATGTTGGCTTGTTGTCTGTGTGGTGAAATATTGAGGTTATCCATTCTGTTTGAGGATGTTTAGTAGGTTTTTTTCCTCTATTCTCTTCAACACTGGAGTGCTACAGTGTATATGAACAGCAGTAAATACGAAATTGGTCAAAGTGGGCGTCCCCTTCAAATCTGAATCCAAGAACACAAACTGGCTGTAAAAAACCATGATTTATATTCTTTCGAATCAATGCATGTGGATAATGTCGGACACCAATTTGATGATTGGGATAATGTAGAAATTTTAAATAGAGGAAACAACCGACAGTAATGCCAGGGAATTCCTAGAAGCCTGGTACTCAAATGAATCAGCCAGCAGTTAACAAACACATTACTATAGACATGAAAAGAAAATTCGAATTCCAAGTCAATTGAAATGATCAATAGAGACGTAACTTAACAAACCAACAGTCACGACAGTGTTCGCCAAGGGACTCAACTATATCATTCATGGAGAAGTTGAATAAGTTAATTTTATACTTAAACTTTTACTGAAGATGTTGTCTGGATGGGAGACGACGAAAGCTTCGCAATTAAATCGTTCAATCAGCACAGAGAACACAACTAATTCAATATACTTTGTTTCATTTTGTGTTTACTGTTTTCTTTGTATCTAGAAACGTGAAGAACGCATAAGAAAACAAGTTGAAAATGAAACTAAACTGCAACGTACAAAACAGGCAGAATTAGCTAAAAAAGCCTATAATAAATGGTTAGTAAAGAAAACAAAAGAGTCATTTTCACAGAAGGTAGGCTAAAATTGAAATCTTGGAAAAGAAAATTTTATCTTCCTACTTAATTTTTAAAAAATTGTTTCTTTTCGATAGGATTTTCCGACTCCCAATTCATCCTCTTTACTGGGTTATCAGAGAAAGTTATAATTGCAGAATTATTTTGCAGATATTTCGCATAATGTGCTGTGTATATCAATATTATTTTCATATTTCTGTGAACTGATTATGCTTTAATATTTGTATTCATATGAACTGTGACCAATCAAGATTTGACTGAATAGTTCCAAAATAGCTGGGCACCGGATATAGGACTAGACACGTTACACTGGTTACTGACCAGTGTGCAATCAAAAATAGCTGGCTACTGTTTGAGAAGTAGACATATTTGAAAATTATATGTGTAAAATCTCGGAGAAATTGAAATGAGTAATTACAACATTTAGTTCGACAAACTGGTCCGAATTTCTTCAGGGAAATTAATCGAAATTAAAATAACGAGGGTTTATATTTATACAGGGAACACCTGTTTTAAAAAAATTGTCCAGTCATATAAATCAGAAAATAGTCATCAAAATATAATAAACAAAATTGCATCAACTGCGATCAGAATCTGACCTCAGACTTACAAATGTTAGCTTACTTTTGTTAAACACTGTAAATAGTGTGTAATTTTCCATCAGATTTTTTAGTGATTACATTCAACTAAAGTTCTTGGTAGTAGGTAATTGACACCTCACATTCGTCACTGGTGAACGTTAAAGATAAAATAGAAGAAGACAACCAACAGGATTGTGTATACTAGATAGGCAGTGGAAATTGTGGCACCGTATATGTAGTAGAAACTTCCAGACAGGTAAATATAAGAGTGAGAGAGCATAAACAATGTCTACAGGTGGTTCCAAAGACCTCTGCAGATTGAAAGAAGTCCTACATATATAGGTGAATCGCAAAGGTTTGAACAGATGTGAAGTTGTAATGTTAGCTGAGGCATGACAGGTCCTGATTAATAAATAAAAATGGATATATATCACCAGTCAATCATAATTGATCTAAATTTCCGATTGTCTATATCTTCTTATGAAGAAGCTAACAAATGATTTTCAATTGTTGCCGCATACACACGTATACACACACCATTGTATGCCGCGTTTACCTATTCATATTCAATTATCTACGACCATGAACTTTAGTCGGACGTAATCACTAAAATTCTGACGAAAAAGTGCACATTGTTTATAGTGTTTCCTGACTCATATGATTGGACAAAGGTTTTAAAAAAGAAGAGATGCCCTTTTTATATATAAAAACCTTTCTTATTTTTATTTTTATTAATTTTGCTGAAGAAGTTCGTCACAGTTTGCCGGACGAAACGTTGGAATCATTTTAACATTTGTGGTTATTGAATAAGAAAAAATGATCCGAACTTTCAACAATAACATGAAGCTGGTCGGTACTTCTATGTGGTGTAGAGAATTGGTACACTACGGAAGGCATTTTCAATCAAGGGCTTCCTTTCGCTCGTTACTGTAGATTAGATGTCCAGAAAGGATAAGCAATAAGGAACTGTGGCAACGGATCACCCAAAAACGTGTCGCCTAACAGGTGGAAATAGAGATGGATAGTACACATGCTGAGGAGACTGTGCAGCAACATGACGCGCCAGGCCATTACTTAAATGGGATCAGAACGAGAAACGGGGAATTGAGTGTTTGTCTGAGGATGACATGGAGGAAATGCTGTGAAGAGGAAATTGAAGACTACAGGGATCGTGCAGTTACGTGGGAAGGACGGCGGAGAAGAGAGTGACGCAGAGAAATGTTAATAACCCCCTATTTGATAAAACTTATCTTAAAAGGAATTATGTTCACTCAACAAGATATTTTACTTTACCTAATACCATGTGATTTCTCATATACCTATGTGAGACTGGTTAGGCTACAGTGAAATAGAACAAAGAGGCACAAAAAGTGCACATTTCATAGTCATGATCACAACTACTGTGATGCCTAAAAAACTCTTAGAGACCTTACTGATACACAGATTTCTCTTCAATTCATAAGAACAAAGACTACTGAAAACAAAACTGATAAAAGACACTACAAAAGAGATTGAGCGAAGAATGTTCTTTTGAATAAATTCCTCATTTGGCTCTAATAATTATAATAATAATGATAATAATAATAGTTTTATTCCAAACACTACTTTTGGTACAAATATGCAATTTTTAGTATGTAGTAGTACAGCAAAGCATCTAATTCTCTCATTACAGGGGGAATAATTAAAATAGGGCATTTACATTAATAATATTGTTCAATAAGAAATCAATATAAAATTAAATCAATTGGAAATATTAACGGCGACGTAACAATGAAAACAAAAAAGAAACAAGCCATTTCCTTAGAGTTACGCAGTTATTTGGTTATTTCCTGCCTCACACATTTTCCTCATCACATTAAATGTGTCCCGGCTAAATAAGGTAATGCAGAGTTTTTGTACTAATTCGTCCGAGCATACAGTCTCCTATAGTTGCTTCTGATTCTACCCGATGAGATGCAAGGAGAGAGTTGTGTATGGATAGGATTCTCAGGTTTTGACAGGATAATATTTGCTGATTTCTCCCATGAGTTCAAGTGTCTATCTAAAACAGTATTAACGAGTTGGTTTAGCAACAGCCCCTCGCCCTAGTGACAACTTTTAGTGTCCTTCACAGTGTAACAAAGTCTTTCTTAAGTAGCCCGCGAAAGATTAAGGGGGAGCAGTAGAAATGTATAGGCAGAATACAAGAATTAACCAACCGGGACAGTAGAGACAGAATGACACCAGATCAGATCATCTTAACTTCCTTATGTAGGACGTTAATATCTCCTTAGAAGCTAATATGATGTGGGAAGACCAGGAAAGATCAGAAGAAATACACAGTCCAAGGTATTTAACATCCGACTTAGTTTCAACTTCTGTGCCATCTATGATAGTGGAACCGTGGGAACTGACCAGTTCACGTAAGTCGCTCTTGCGTGTGAAAGTGAAATTAATCAACTGACATCTGGAGGACTTAAGCTTAAGACCATTTGACGAGGACAAGTGACTAATTTCTGATAAAAAGATATTCATTTTGAAGCAGTGAGTGAGAAGCAATAGGCATAAAAACACTCAGATCATAGGCATACTTGAAAATATTGGCTTCATCAGAATGGGGCAAGTCAAATAAGAAGAAGGAAAACAGAAAAGTAGACGGAACAGCTCCCTGAAAAATACCAGCCAGAGTAAGAGAAGCAGTGGAGGACTTCTCATTCTAGACAGAAAAATAGGAATGCGACCACTTGATAATCCATCACTGTGCTTGTGACGCAGCAAGCTTGTCTGACAAAAGTGGCTTAGCTACAGAGTCAAAGGCAGACTTGTAATCTAGGCACCTCTATCTAAACTAGAGACAATACTGTGATTTAAGACGACAATGGCATCTAAAGTACACCTATTATGTTTATAAGCAAATTGATTAGGATCATTAAGAGCCTTCAATGGAGGTTCAAAGTTAAGTGAAAGAAGTCTTTCCTTTATTTGCAAAAAAGGTGAAGTAATGGTAATAGGTCTGAATTTAACAGTTGGTCTACTTGATGATTTAGTCACAGGAACAATTTTAATGGGTGTGCGTCGGTGGCACGTGGTTAGGACGCTCGCCAACCATGCATGTGGTCCGGGGTTCGATCCGCGGCCGACGCACTCCTTTATCTCACTAAGCCAGAAATAAAGCTGGTAAAGAGGGAAGGTTGGGCATGAAGCTAGCAACCCCATCCTGTAAAAATAAACATTGCTACAGAAACTTCTAGCCTCTAACTTGAAGCCCTATGTTCCACTGGGAACGCGAAGGAATAAAAAACAAACAATTTTAATGTCCTTTCAAGAGCAGTTATATATACATAATATTTGAAGGGTAGTCGCAACTGACAACATTGTTGTTTTTGAAGTAATATTGGTTTGCTAAGGTCAACAGAATTACAGTTCTTAAGTATCTGTAAGCGATAATATGCATAAAAATTGTAGATTAGATAAAATTAAGGAGAAAGATAGTGAAACAACTGAAGATTATTAAATGCTTAGGTGGAAGGGACAACTGTCAGAATTTGAAGACGAGGTAGTGTTGACTAACGGAGGGAAAGCACCTGAATGAACCCCTGCTGGACATATAAGTTTGGCTTCTTCGGGTAGATTCTTATGGCTTCAACTAAAGGTGAACTAGCAAGACAAAATTAAGATTAGGCGGAATACGATAAGTAACTGTAAAAGACTTGTTAACATCGATTTTATGTTCAGATGAGCTAAAACAGATCTGCGAATAAACCCTGTTGATCACTTGCTTAACGATGTAGGATGATGTCTAGAAATCCGATAACGAACACATCCACCAGTGCGACCACTGTTAAACTAGTTCCACAGAAGCAGTCAAACTGGTAGACATATCTGGAGAAGGGGAGATTAGGTAACTTATCCTTATTTCCCTACAGCACAATTGGAGTGGATGTTAAAGGACAGTGAAATTCTGCTGCACTGAATGATCTTTTTACTACGTTCTTCAAGTGCAGTGTAATTCTTGCTTTGGTGTAATCACCAAGAGACTGCAGCTTAAAGAATAAGAGCTTCTTCAGAACAGCTGACACATTGGCTTACATTGACTTTAAATTCGGCTGTTCTCCAATGATCTTGAGTTCTTTATCAAGAACGTCATGAAAGCAGAATGCTCTCGCTATGTGAACAAAATAATCTATCGAATTCTGTTGAAATTTCAAAGTTGCAAAGCTCAAAAAATGAGTATACTAACTGGCTGGTGTAGGTTTTCTGTATATGCTACTTTTTATTGTACCGTCCTCTTTCCTGGTTATAAGGACGTCTGGTAGGGTTATACTATTATTTCCTTTCTTGTCGATAATGAAATTTAACGCAGAATTGTCATCATTTAATTTGTCGAGGATATTCTTTGATTTATTCTCATTTTCTATTATCAAAAATGTGTCATCTATGTGATAAAAATGGAATTCTCTCTCACCAATTATACCTTTCAAAGATCCATCCTCCAATTTCACGAGGACATTGTCAGCTGGAGTTGATTGTAGTGGTGATTCAAAGGCCACACCATCAATTCATTTGAAGAATTCCTTGTTAAATGAAAAATGAATATTTATTATGCATCTAAGAAGCAGTTTCTTCAAAGAAGACATATGAATGTCAACATCGATGTTTCGTTCAATAAGCTCTTTGCGTATAACAGTTGCATCCAAACATAAGTAGTGTCCAAATCTAAAGACAAATATCCCCAATATCCTTTTCGTGCTCTTCTATCCAAAGTAACTTGTTGTACGATTGTATATACTACTGGCGTGTGATATAAGTAGGTGCAGACGACGCACATTAAAAAAGTACACCTCGCTACCCAGATCGAGGTGATCTGAACATTGGACAGCCATTTCACTCGTTTCGAGCCGAGCTCATCAATCGCATACCCGGTTTGACTCAGTTTAGAGAAAGAAATCACTTCAAGTCACCTGATTTCTGGCCACTCACTTGGTCAAACAAGTAACACCATAGATCAGATTCTTGATTTTCTATAGTCTGGTTTGTTAGGGTTAGTTATGTTATTACGAGTTGATCACGGACTGATATCAGTTAGAGAACCAATGAAAACCAGGGAGTACTGGACAACTGTTTCATCCTAGTTTGGGAATCATCAGCAGTACGCACCCACTGGGATTCGAACCCAGGACCTTCAGGTTACAAGGCAAGCTCAATGATTCTCTAACTGATATCAGTCCGTGATCAACTCGTAAAAATATAACTAACCCTTACAAACCAAACTATAGAAAATTAATCTGATGCTCGCTAGTGAATTGCTACTGCACGGAGTTTCCTGCAGTCCTAGTGAGCAGTCGTGACCAGTGAGGTCCAATTTGATGTCACGTGTGTGGATGGATGTCCCACCAACGACAATGGTTGGGGTTGCGCTAAATCACGAATTGGTAGAAGTTAGAATTCATGGGCTAGCCACTGAATCGGGTCCCAGTGGCTGAATAGTATACGAGCTTGCCTTGTAACCGGAAGGTCCTGGGTTCAAACCGTGGTGGTGGGTGCGTACTGCCAATGATTCTCAAACTAGGATGAAACAGATTCTTGATTCTCAATTTAATTTACAATATATAATCTCAATAATCTCGTTTTCCAAAGAAAACTGTAATTAAATCTCATGTCGAACTCTCCAAATTTCAAATGACGAATTAATTTACAAATCTCTACCTTGATCCACTATATGACCAGTCCTCCCAAGTAGCTAGCCGGAAATCGAGTGATTTCAATAGATTCGGTTCCCTGAAGTGATTTGAATCGATTACATCGCTGATTAGTAAGTACTGGCTAGTAAGTACCACTGCCTAATGTGAGTGATATACAACTACTTAATTCAGTCAGTCAGTAGTCTGTCCTTATATTTACAGTTTCGATGTAAGTTAATGTTTTTCCCCTCTTTTTGTTTTGACAATAAAATTAATTAATTTTTAGTATTGACAATTCCTCCTTTGAAAAACAAAGACTTTTCTAATTTCCTGAAACATAGTTCATCCCCACCCCATAACCATCTCCTCTTTATTTACCTTCATTTATTAATGTGTCGATCAAATTTTTGAAACTTTTGTTTATGAGAAGAAAAAGGATACATTCCGGCGAATACTTAGAGAACGCTCTGCTGGAAGATATGAAACAGGAAATCAAGAGAATAAAAGCAGAAATAAAAGCTTCGACAGATGTAACATAGAATACTCACCTAAACAAGAATTTACACCAATGAACTCATTAACAAAAACACCAAAAGAATCAGTTATAAAATTGACATCAACAGATTATTCATCTGATTATCAACAGCAAGAGCAACAACAGCTACAACAACGGCAACACCAGCAGGGCAGTAAAACGCTTAAATTACGTATAAAATTGAATAAAACTGATAAACCAACTTGTGTAAGAAGTCAATACAGGTTGAAGCATTCTAGAAAACCAATCTATCGAATTCCATTTAATTCATGGTCAGTAAATTATCAAACATCAGTGGATGAAACTGATGGACTACAGCATTTTGATGAAAATACACCTATACTCTATGCTAAATCAAATGAATATGAAGATTTATTAAATTCTAATAATAATAGTTGTTCAATGGTGAGTTTAATGTTAAACTATGATAGTTTATTTTCAAGAGTTAGCATGCAGGCATTTGATCTTTTCCAAGTTGGATCAAGAGCTGGTGTCAGTTAGAGAGCTGGTTGATTCTATACAAGAAGCTACTTGAAGTCCTGGTGAGAAGTAGTGAACAGTGAGGTGCACCAAGTGGGGAGTGAGGATAAATCCTCGCCGATGATGTTGAATGGTGATCGTATAAAGTTAGAATTCATAGACCAATGGACCAAGTTTCAGCGGCTGAATAGTCTATGAGCTTTCCTTTTAACTGAAAGATCTTGAGTTCATACCCCAGTTGTTGTTTACTGATGAAGAGCCCTAAACTGGGACGAAGCAGCTTTCTAGTACACTTTGGTTTTCCAGTGGATCTCTAAATGATGCCAACTAGTGATCATACTTGAAATTCTAGTTATATTGTATCACATAATGAATATTCACCTTTAGAATAATATACGATCTAATTAATGCAAGGTAACTATTCACAACTCCACTTTATAGACTTCGAGAAGGCCTTCGACAGCGTTGACCGCGAAGTAATTTGGAAACTACTCAAGTACTACGGCGTGCCCCAAATATTCATCAACGTTATTCAACAGCTGTACGACAATGGCACATGTCAAGTGATCCACAACGGAAAACTCAGCGAGGCGTTTGGAGTAATCACAGGAGTCAGACAAGTGTGCTTATTATCACCAATGATATTCCTAATTGTTGTGGACTGAATTATGCGTCAGACAGTGGGAGACGAGAAGACAGGGATATCCTGGATCGACGTGAAGAGTCTATAAGACCTGGATTTCGCGCGTGGATGATTTATGTTTGATGTCACACAAAATCGAAGACTTACAAGTGAAAACCGACAAACTGGTCGAAGAAGCAGCCAAGATAGGACTCCAGGTGAACATAGACAAGACAGGAGGAACGGACGAGGATGTCAAATCGAGAATCGGGAAGGCGAGAAACACATTCATCAACCTGAAACCAATCTGGAAATCTTCGTCACTCAGCATCAACAACAAAATTCGGATTTTCAATACAAACGTCAAGTCAGTCAGTTCTTCCATACGTAGGGATCAGAAACTTGGCGGGTCACAAAGAATATTTCCAACAGCCTGTTGCAGACCTTTATCAACAACTGTCTTCGCTCTCTCTATACTGAAGATCAGATGGCCGGAAAGAATCACCAACAAGAAACTATGGGAACAAACAAAACAAGAACCAATCGCCCAACAAATATGCAGGAGAAAGTGGAGATGGATTGGACACTCGCTGAGGAGGCCGTTGGGTGACGTCGCGTGTCAGTCCATAGCTCAAGTGGAACCCGAAAAGGAAGCGGCGAGTGGGACGTCCAAGGGTGACATGGAGGAGATCGTGTGAAGAGGAGTTGAAACAGAATGGACAAACATGGATGCAGTTGAAAAGTACAGCAGAAGACAGAAGCAAGTGGAGACGTGCAGTTGAAGCCCTATGTTCCACTAGAAACCCAAAGGAACAATAATATATTGTAATAACCATTCACATCTGTTTAATGAGAACCGTGTTGCTATCTACTTTTGCAAACATGAGTAGGTGGAATGAATGAATAACCTATGACTAAAACTTTGAAAGTTAATTGATTTAGGGGTGAACTGAACTCATATTTTTTCAATTTGTTTTTGTTTTACTATAAGTGGTCATAGTTCTTACATCTCTATAGTTGGAGAGTATATTCACTTTTTGACTAGATCCATGTGGATGTACCAGTCCTCCTGCAGAATCAAAGGTCTTCAATGGATTCAAGCAAATGAAAGCCAAGAAGGCAGAATTACTAGGAGGGATTTCTCCTGAAGCACTGAAAATGAATCTATAGACCACCGAGGATATGGTTATAGCACTGTCGCAAAACATTTGGAAGGAACGGAAACTATCTATAGATTGGCGGAAAGGCTGTCTTATTGAGCTATCAAAAAGGACCAACTGAGGGCATTGCAAAAACTGGAGCAAAATCATGCTCCTGTTCATGGAAAATGTCAAGTCACATCATCATGGATAGACTAAAAGATGCACTGGATGCAGAACTCCACTTGCCGGAACAAGCTGCATTCAGGAAAAGAAAATCATGCGCGGATCAAATTGAAATTCCATACATCATCATCGAACAGAGCATGGAATGACAGTTAAATCTCTATCTCAACTTCATCGACCATATGGAAAGGTCTTCGACTGACCACGAAGTAATTTGGCAGCTGTCTCAACACTACAGATTGTTCCTTATTCAACAGCTATATGACGATACCACATATTAAGTGATCCAAAACGAAGCAACTGAGGTTGCTTATTATTAAAAGTGATATTCGCCACTATTACGCACTGGATTATGCGTCAAACTGTGGGGAGCCAGAAGTCATGAGTGAGCGGGATTAGTAAGAAGATTCTAGAAGATATGAACTTCGTGGACGATTTGTGACTAATGTCACACAAACTCGATGACTTGCAGGCGAAAACCAATAAGTTTGCAAAAGATGCAGGCAGAGAACAGAGGAATTCAATTGGACAAATGGAAGACGGAAGTGATGAAACTAACCAACCAGCAACAACCAGCACCAGTAACGATCAACTTGAGAAATTTGAACAGACTAAATCCTCTCACTTTTTTAGGCAGCATCGTTTCAAATACATGCAGAATAGATAAGTCTTTCAAAAGCGGAATTGAAAAGAACAGGTAGACCTTTATCACTCTGAGATCGATTTGAAATCTATCACGCTCAGCACAAAAAACAAAATTCGAATTTTCAACACCAGTAGTGAGTCAGTTTTATCTGGGTCAGAAAATTATGGCATCACGAGAAGCATTCCTAACAGACTTCAGGCTTTCATCAACATCTGCCTTCTCTGGCTTCATGCTAGAGATCCGATGGTTAGCCGAAAAGAATTAGCATAAAGAAACTCAGAGGATGAACCAATTAAAAACCTATTGCTCAAGATATATGTTGAAGAAAGTAGAAATGGATCGGACTCACGTTGAGGAGACCATTAAGTAGCATCTTGTGCCAGACCAGCCGTCAAGTGGAAATATAATGAGAAGTGACAAGTTAAGCGAGGTTCCGGGGTTGACATGCAAATTGTGTGTGGAGGGGGAAATGAGAGTCTCTTGGCTGTTTTGGAGCCAGCTACAAAGGACTACAAACAAAAAGGTGAAATGGAGATGTGCTGTTGAGGCCCTGTATTCTACTAGGAACCCAAGGAAATAGTAATAAAATGGATCTTTTAGGTCGACCACAGTGGTATCAGTTGGAGAACAACTGGGAAACCAGCTGGGAGTACTGGACAGTTATTTCATCCTAGTTTGAGATTCTTCATCAGTACATATCCACCGACATGGTTCGGATCCAAGACCTTCTGGTTACATGGCGAGCTCGTAGACCATTAAGCCACTGGGACCCAATTCAATGGCCACCCCATGAATTACAACTTCCGCCAATTCACGTCATAGCGCTACCACTAGCCAATGTCTTCGGCGAGTATTTGTCCTCACAGCCGACCTGCTTCACCCTACTGGTCATGATGTCCTACTAGGACGAAACAGCTGTCCAGTACTCCCAGCTGGTAACCAATGATTCTCTAACCGATGTCAGCTCATGATGAACTCTTGTAACCAATCGATCAAATCCTTACAAACCAACACTGTTAAAATGTTTTGAAACAATAGACTTGATGATAGGAAATCTTAACTGGAAGATTTGAATGAATAAAGTTACAAGAGATATCGACAAGCCGTTTCAAAATAAGGAAACATGCAGAGGACACTGCAAAGAAAGAAAGTTAAAGCACATGAGGAGACATATTTCTTCAAGATATAACAAATTGCATAGGAATACCAATAGATAGGCGATCCTGATTATCATAGTCGAGAATGAAGATTAATATCAGGTGCTTAAATTACATAAAACGAATACCAGTAATGTGATTTTTAAAGTTGTGTCCATTTAAAGACTTCATCAACACCTAGAGATTGTTTCAGGGTAACTTGAGGTGTAGAGTTTTGAGGGTCAGCTATCTTTAAAACACGCTGATCATAGGGGAGAAGCATTATAGTTAGTTGTATGATTGTTCAAGGGGAACCTTTTTACTACTGTTACACCCCTACTAAACAGCAGTACAACTTCGCTTTCACAACGCCAATATTGTGCAAACACTTTTACACTTTCAGTCGAATCACTATCCAAGCGACTTCTGCGACATGGTGAGAGGAAAGTGTAGATATTGTTGTAGGTGCAATTACAACACATTTTTATTTCATTTTCTTCTTTTATGTTCCGAATGGAGCATAGGGCTTCAAGCTAGAGCCTTTTTGAACTTTCAGTAGCAGTGGTGTTCATTTTTACGGATGGGGCTGTTAACCTCATGCCCAACCAACCTACCCTCTTAACCAGTATTGTTACTGGCTTAGTGAGGTAAAGGAGTGCACCGTCCGGGGATTGAACCCCTAACCACATAAGGCGTGGTTGGCCAGCATTTTACCACTAAGGCACCCGCGCACATCGTGACACATAGAGACATTAATTTACGTTATAGAACCTCGACACCTTTATAGCACATATTATTATCGTTTCCATTAATTCCTAGAGGAATATAGGGCTTCAGCCGTTCGTCTTCATTGCGTCCGGTTCTCTGCTAGAGTCTTCACATGGCTCCAAGTCTGCCCACAAGCTTTCATCTCCTCTTCACATGACCTCCTCCAAGTCACCCTTGCACTGACGACCAACTCGCCGCTTCCCTTTCGTGTTCCACTCGAGGGCTTGTCTAGTGATGTCACTCGATGGTTTCCTCAGAGTATGGACAATCTATCTCCATTTCTTCCTGCCTATTTGTTTCAAAATCGGTTCCTGGTTGGTTCGCTCCCAGAGATCTTTGTTACTGATCTTCTCTGGTCATCTTATCTTGAGTAATGAGTGAAGAAAATTGTTAATGAAGGTCTGTATTTTGTTTGAGATGCTCTTTATGACGCGCCAAGTTAGTTAGTTTCCCGTTGTGGATTACTTGGCATGCAGCATTGTCGTACAGCTGTTGGATGAGATGTATAATTGTCAGTGGCACCTCGTAGTAGCGAAGTAGTTGCCAAATCACCTCTCGATCGACGCTGTCGAAGGCCTTTTCAAGGTCGATGAAGATGAGATAGATAGGTGACTGCCATTTCAAATTTTGTTCACTGTGGCGATTTGATCAACACATGACTTGTTTCTCCTGAATCCAGCTTCTTTTTGGTCGAAGTTTTTCATCTAGGGCTTGTTTGATCCTCTCCAGGATGATGCGGCTTAGTATTTTGCTTGGGATGGACAGTAGCATAATTCCGCGCCAGTTCTTGGATTAACTTTATAGCATATATATATATATATACATAATTTTAATTGGAGCATTAATGAAAAATATTCACTTGAAAAATAATAATCACATAATTTGTCCAAAAGGTAAAAGACAGGAAATCTCAATATATATTAGTTAACCTGTTTTTCTTCTTCGCTTCAAGTGTTAAATAGGCCTAATTACCGCTAATAAGTAGTGTGTCGGTCATTCAACTATACATTCGTGAGTCAAACACATTTCTAATGCTTCATAAATACCCTTAGTTTATATCTTTCTGTATAAACTAACTACTGAGTAAAGGCATGAAAAATGCGTAGTTTTGTTATCCTCAAATTCTAGTCATTTTGAAAGTTTCTCCCCGTTGTTTTCGTGTATGTGTGTGTGTGTAATTAGATAAATGAATGAATACAAATCACTAACATTGTTTTTCCTTTATTTTCCCTGTTTTTATTTTTTCATTTAAATAGTGAGTCATTAGAGAAATTAGCCTTCTACATCCTATTCAGACTGATAAAGCTCCTTTCTGAAATCTTAAAGTATCCATCCAATGAACCAAAATAAAAATTCAGTCTTATTACCAATACTATTTCAGAAATCTTAACTACACAGAAAAGTTTTATAAACAGTGTGAACAGGCTAATCCCTCATCATTAAGTGAGACAATGGAAATAGGAGAGTACTAAGGAAGGCTGTGATGAATGTAACCTAAGTATTTCGGTTCGGACAGCATTAAGAAACCAGTCGGCGCATGTTCATCTGTATAGCTCGTCAGACTTCCGCGAATCATGTACAGTTAAATCTTATATTCTAACAATATCAACATACTGTGTGATGATGTGACAGAATCTATGGTATTACTCAAAAATAATGACTCATTCTATAAGTATACAATTACCTCAACAATACCAATCGTAGGCTATACAATCGAAGAAGATTCTCACGCGTAAAATACACACTGTACGACAAAATACAACAGTGACACATCTGAAAATTAAGGAAAGATATTTTCAGCAAGACAGGATAAAAACGCTTTGTGTCTAAAAGAATCAAGCAGAACAAAAACACATTTCCTGTAGATAGTTTAAGGTCTAGCCATTACTCTATGGTGTAGCCTTGAATAGATACGAACAAAAGAGTAACAGTGAAATGACACATTACTGTCAATAGTCCATAGTCACACAAGAACAAAGTGAAACATTAAAAATTATAAACAAACAAAAATAATAGCGACTCAGTGAAAAGAAGGGAGAAATTAAGCTTTAATCGCCAGAACGTACCAGCCACATGGTCAAGGCAATTTTCACTTATAAAATACAAGTGTTCATGAAATTAATGAATTAAAAGGCCTGAAACTGTTACATAGGATACCTTTCTCTGACGTGTGGCAAAAATGCTTCCCGGTTTTCGATTGGAGTATCAACAGAGTAATCTATGCCCATTCTGTGTATGTTATTTTCTAGTCTCCTAACCCTAACAATAATTCTAATCTTTCCTTAACCTAACCCTAAAGTGAAAACATCCAGAAACTTATTGCTATCTAACTCGAACCAAACCTTATGTTGCTCTCATTAGGTTAACCTAACCCTAGCCTGTCCTTAGCCTAAACCGTCACTTAATATTTCCCAAAGCTAGCCTGAAACTCTCCACATATTCCATTTGATAACATGGCACTTCACTAACCATGCCTACAGTATTATATACCAGTTTTCACTATCTTGTTTTCTCAGCGTTTCAGGGTCATAGCTGCGGTCGCAATCTGCTGGCATTTACTGGTGATTAAGGTTTAAAAGATACACAAACATCAGAACAGGTCATAGGAAAAGGGTAGTAATTATAAAATTAGTTTATATATTCAAATAAGTATTAATATTTTAAGTAGGTTGATCATGGAGGGATTTTCAAGACGATTATTCCGTTACAATGGCTTTCTCATCATAATTTCTAACTATTCACTTCTATGCAAACATGATTCCACCGGTAATCGAACCAAAAGAACAATCACTCGCCCATAATCGAATTGCATAATCCCGAATAAATCTGAAATGTGAGAACAAAATTGATATTATATGTTTGGAGGCAGTCGGCAGGAAGCCTTGGATCTAAATTTCGTGCTAGCTGTCACTTGTCAGCATGGCGTATCTGTAACCTTGAAGGAACTCATGTCCCTTCTGAGGTACACCATGCTGACGAGTGCGAACTAGCATGAAACCTAGGTTCAAGGATTCCTGCCGATTACCTCCAGTCATTTCAAAGCACATTCGTTTATTTATATTAAATGTGTGAGAAAGATCCAGAATTATTTCCGGTTAAAGGTTAAATTAACAAAATAAATGTTTAATTATCAGGAAGATCGCGTAGAAAAGACATAATAAGATTATAATTACTGGAAAATTCGCCAGTTTGTGTAATTACGGATTTAGGACGTAGTGTTAACAAAATAGGTAGGAGGTTCGGACATATAAAAGGAAAACATAAAAGAAAACATTAACCAAATCTAATAATGTAGATAAGAATTAAAAACGCAAATATGAAAGAAATAAGCGGGAAGGTTGGACAAGAAGGTAATTGGACAATCATTATTGATGGGACTGACTTTTCATGATTGCCACGGTAGGGATAAACATTGGACCTATTTCTTTTGGACACATAGAGTAGGTTTTAGGTTTTGGATCGCCAATGCCTCAGCTATTCCTAGATGTCTTGATTTCACTCCCTTTGATAGACTGGATAGGATCTTGCATATGGTTTTGAAGGACTTTTCAAATGAAGCTGAATGTCCAGAATTCACCTCCTACCTACTTTGTTAATACTACCGTAATTATACAAACTGACGAGTTTTCCAGTAATTATAATCTTATTATGTCTTTTCTATCCGATCTTCCTGCTTATTACACATTTATTTTATTAATTTAACCTTTGACCGGAAATAATTCTGGATCTTTCTCAAACATTTAATATAAATCCACAAATATACAGCCTAGCTGATGACTTCGTAGAAAAGAGAATTTTCATCACTGCAACCGTCTTTTTAATAATTCCTATTAACCAATGTGCATATTCCGTAATTCACAGTGCACCGTGATGGTGAGCCAACTAGAATGATGGCGCACATTGCAAACTTGACTGTTAGAATTCAGTCTGCACCAAACAAGGGACTAAACACACACACATTACACTGGTTACTAAGTCGTGTGGAATCAGAAGGAAACAAAATTGTTTATTCTTTTCAACCATATCGTTGTACTATAAAGCATCATCATTTAATATTCTACTGTAGTAGTTTGAAAAATTATGCAATAACACTAAGCATTATTCTGCATTATTACATTTTTAGACTAAACCTTATAGTACGCATAAAAAACAAAATCTGAATAAAATAGACAACAAGTACTCTAACAAGAACAGTTCACCTCAGATAACAACTTGTCGTCAAACATATACACAATGGTTAAAACAGAAACAATCAGAATCATCTTATAGATTGAAAGCACAGCTACAAGCTAAAGAAAATGTGGCTTTAATGGAGGCGATAAATCCTCAACTTCTGGAAACTTGGAAGTAAGTAAGTCCGTTTTTCGAAGTTAAACAAACAAACAAACTAAGAAACGAAATGGTTCCACGTTTGATAAGTTTATATTAAACAACACACAGAGATGCAGTATTAACAACTGGATGACGTTTCGAGCATAAATTATTGCCACTCATAATCATATCAATTTAGTCAAACGGTTTCACATTTTGTCTTATATATATTTTTTCTCTTTCTATTCTGTCTCTCCAACTTTCCTTTGTTGTTTGTTGTCACTTTTCAAATCTCCGGTATAGGCGATACGTCATTTTGACTGCAAGTGAGCGGTGTTGAATCAATAAACAAAACTTCAGTGACTAACCTCTCCCTCCAGTGCTACTCTCCCTCTTTATACTGCTGTAAGGTACTGCTGTCTCAAGAAGGAACATCAGAGGCCTTACGTAAGATTCTCAATGAAGTTGGAATTAGGGTGACATTTAAACCAGACAACTCTCTCAGAGATAAACTTTTTCGGCTTAAGGACCCAATAGATCCAATTATTATTATTATTGTTTCCTTTAATTCCTAGAGGAACATAGGGCTTCAGCCACAAGTCTCCATTGCGCTCGGTTCTCTGCTAGAGTTTTCACCTGGCTCCAAGTCTGCTCACACGTTTTCATCTCCTCTTCACATCACCTCCTCCAAGTGACGTTTGGACGACCAACTTACCTCTTCCCTTTCGGGTTACACTGGACGGCTAGTCTAGTGATGTCACTTGATGGTTTGTTTCCTCAGAGTATGGCCAATCCATCTCCATTTCCTCCTGCCTATTTGTTTCACAATCGGTTCCTGGTTGGTTCGCTCATTGCCAGAGATCCCTGTTGCTGATCTTTTCTGGCCGGGCATCTGATCTTGAGTATTGAGCGAAGACAACTGTTAATGAAGGTCTGTAGTTTGTTTGAGATGCTCTTTATAACGCACCAAGTCTCTTATCCGCATAGTAGCACTGACTTCACATTAGGAAAACTAATATAATTTACCAAATTCCATGTAATGACAATGATTGAGGTCAGTAACATGGGTCAAACTAGGAGACCAGGGTCAATTAGATTGTCGGAACATAAAATTTTAGCTAGACCAAAATGATTGACCCTGCTAAGTGAAATAACCTAGAAAAAAGCTCAGCCACTGCATTGCGTTCACTTGCATGTAATCACAAAATAGGGTGGGTGGGACAGGATGACAGTACTAAAAAGATAATGTAGTCTGGCGGAAAGATAGAGAAGTTAATCACTGAAGCTTTGTTGATTGATTCAACACTGCACGCATGCAGTCGAAATGACGCAACGACTATACTGGAGATGTCAAAAGCGACAACAAATAACAAAGAAAAGTTGGAGAGACAGAATAGAAAGAGAAAAAATATAGACAAAATATGAAACCGTTTGACTAAATTGATATGATTATGAGCAGCAATAATTTATGCTCGAAACGTCATGCAGTTGTTAATACTGCATCGTTGTGTGTTATTTAAAATAAACTTATCTAATATGGAATTATACTCTACCAACAATGCCCAAGTTCTTCACTTACAATAAACAAAATGGTGTATATCACTTGGAATTAGTCTAAAAGTAGGCTTTATGTTTTTGTGAACATTAATTAGGAAGATCAGTCTACACAACTGAAGTTCATGTGGCTTTAGATACTCACCAATGAAGTTAAACACTTTACTAACTATTTTTCTAAATCATGACTGACCAATTTGGAATACTAGATTATACTGTATATACAAAAGATCTGGTGTGACCGAGGGTAGGTTGGCTTCAGTCTTCCTCTCGACATGCTCCCATTTGACCACGCGTTCATGTCGTCTACCACTTAAGTCCTATTCACTGCCTTCACGCGGCAGAAGTATTGCTAAAACAAAACTGAAGGGGGAGGGAATTTGAAATGCTGGCGCTTACAATCGGACTGGTTGACATTCTGGTTTACGTAATGGAGCTGGAAAACCTTGATTCCAAACCTATGTTGTACACAGGCTCCAAAATCCGTAAAGACTGAATGGTGTATGACCCTGTTTTGACCACCGGAGACCATAGGAGCGCAGCTGCTGACTTTGTTCCACTGCCTTATGGATCAAATTTCAGGTCAAAGGCTCGCCAGTGGAAGGCGATGGCCCCCTTTCTTCAGTCTGGGCGTCCGGGCAGTATCCCAACCACAGCAAAAACCATGTGATTTAAAACAGCTCACCTCTTCAATAACAATAAGATTGTAGATTTGGAGCGGCAGATGGCCAGTAGAAATCTTTCATTCTTCAGTCCAAAACATTGACTGAAATGTACCGATCACGATTTGAATCTACATAGAGAAATCGTTTCCCTCAGGAATTCAGACACACGGCTTATTGATGGTGAACTAAAACCACGGTCTCCACTCACCAGCTCACTGACTTGTCCAGATATCTAATGTAAGATTACTTTTCACCCTACTGTTGTTCTAATTAGCACATATTGACCATTTAAAACATTTGGTCGATATTCGTATTTTAACCTACTGGAATAAAGTGTTACACCAGTTCACATTTACAGCGCCAAAATGGTAAAAAAACATTCTCATTATCTTTGATAGTTTGCAATGGCTGTAACTTTTATATAAATGAGGCATATTCACAGCCTTTATCGTGGTGAAATAGGAGAATTTTAATTCAATTTGATATGGATCTCATGTGGTACTCTACACTACTTCAGTATTTTTTCAGGTGTATAATTCAGTAGTCATATACTCTCAGGATATAAAATGCTAGAATGAATGATCAAATAAAATAGACATATAAAACTGCCAAAAATATATTTGTCTATTTAAAAAAAAATTTTTTTATGTTTTAAAAGATTTTTGTGTGGCCAGTTTATTGCATCGTATGTCTATCTAATACAGTTGACAGACTGTCATTTAAACCCTTACTGTCATATCATAATTCTTGTCAAACGGACATGGTTGACGCCAGTTTTTTTGGTTAAAGTGTACACTTATGTCTTCTAAACTTATAATGACTTATTCTTGTATATGATTGGACATTAGACATATATTCCTAGACAGAATCGATATCCTTACAAGGGGATAGGGGAAATTGTTAACAGTATAAGTTATTGATAGGAATTTGAATGATTTCCAACAGGTTGCAGACTTTCATCAACATCTGCCTTCACTGGTTGCATCCTGAAGATCAGATGACAGACCGGCGAGAAAAAACTAGAAAGGAGAAAATATGGGAAGAAACCAACCAAGAGCCGATTGCTCAACAAATCTGAAGGAAAAAGTGAAGATGGATCGGGCATACACTGACGAGGCCACCGAATGACATCGCACACCAGGCAATACCTCGAGTGCAATCCAAATGGGAAGCGACGAGTGGGTCGTCCTAGGGTGACATGGAGAAGATCGTGTGAGGAAGAGATGAGAGAGTTTGGTCAATCGTGGACCCAGCTGAAGAGGACGGCAGAAAACAGAACAAAGTGGAGATGTGTTGTTGAAGCCCTATGTTCCACTCGGAACGCAAGGGAATAATAATAATAATATGGAATGTTCATGACCTGTTTTTTGAGGTGTCTGGTTATACTTTAGATGCTTTGAGAAGTTAATCACAGTCATACTTCTTGTGCGTCGGTGGCACAGTGGTTAGGACTCTCGCCGATCAAGCACATGGTCCGGGGTTCCATGCCCTGCAGACGCACACCCGATATCTATGGTCGGCCTGTAAAATTTGGGCTACCGATATCCATGCTGAAAATTCCATACTTGTACTGAAAATACGGTGTGGCATCAAGCTGTAATCAAAAATTAAAAAATATACTTTTAAGCAAAATCTACTGTTCATAGTCATATCAGAGTACTTAGGAAACTTTCAGATTTTGATTACATAGTTGTGTCATTTCTCATCCATTTAGAATTGTAACTCAATTGTAGCTCAGTATCTTTTTATTATTATTATCACCCCCTTTTGTTTTGAGTAGAAGTGTAGGGCTCCATGAGAACATCTCTACTTCACTATGTTTTCTGTAGCCCCTTGTAACTGGCTCTGCGATCGCCCATATACCCTCATCTTCTCCTAACAAGATCTTCTGAGCCCTCTCCCACGCTTGTCGTTTTCCATTCATATTCTACTTGAGGACCATGTGTGTGTGACGTCGTCTTGATCGCGTTCTTAGAGTATATCCGATCTATCTTCATTCCCATTATTTATAAGATGGGTTCTTGGTTGCTTCGTTGCACTGTCAGATGATTTTTATCACTTATCCTTTCTTGCCATTTGATCTTCAGTATAGAAAGAAGGTTGCTGAGGATGAAAGTCTGCATGCACCAGCTGGAAATGCTTTTTACGATGCATCACGTTTATACACCGTATATTAGTACTCTGACCGACTTGATATTAATATTGAAGATTCGGATCTTATTCTTTATACTGACTACAGTAGATTTCCTTGCCGACTTCAGAGTAATGAATGCCTTTCTCGCTTTCCTGATCTCCGCTTCGACATTTTCATCTTTGCTGCCTGTGCTAACACGTTTCCAGAAATGGAATGGGACAGAACTTCGGCGATGTCCATGGGTTAACATGCTGTTGTTTGGTAGATGGTAAAATACTAATCCTTAGATATCGTCGAAGTATTCGTAGCAGGATCTGATGTGTCAACAGACAATGAACATTTAGGTTCTAAAAATCAACGGCAATTGCACAAGCAATAACTCTCGTGGCCTACGTGGGTAACGTTTTAGCTTTTGATGCAATGGGTCTCAGAAGGAACACGGTCTCCCAGTGAGAATTCAGGTCCATACAGTAACTGATGTGTCGTAAATAGAACAAAATACTCATCCTCTGGATCCAACCGCTAATCACCAACCACAAAATAACATTTTAAAGTAAATCCGAAATTGGTAAGTAGGTAATTCTAAAATTATCAAGGATTTTTCTCTTCTTTCATATATGGACAAATTAGATTCTGGAAGTTGTATGTGGTTTTTAACACTGCAAGTAAACTTTGCATCGAGA